TGAGCTGTCACTTCAATTACAATCTCTTAACCACAATTTTATAATAGGTGCAGATTTTAATGCCAAGCACCATACTTGGAATCGATCCACTAATACTAGGGGTCGTTCCCTCTATAATTTAATCACACTAAAAAATTACAGAGCAATTGTAACAGACTCGCCAACTTATTGGCCTTCTCATGTTAATCGTCATTGTGATACTATCGATTTTTTCGTTTCTCATATTCCTAATCGCTTTGTAACTAAAATTATTAATCTAAATGATCCAGCTTCTGACCACACACCAGCTGTATTACATATTGGAGGACAGTCGAGCCTAAAACATAGCAGGCCAACAATCACTCAAGGTAAAATGAATTGGTGCAAATTTAGGACCATACTTTCAAAAAAAACTGCATTAAATATTAAACTAAAAACTACTATGGATTTCGATAATGAAATTCACAAACTTACCATGAACATATAAGAAGCAGCAAAAGAGTCTTCATCCCCCTTCTCTTATAAAAAACCAACATTAAACTTAACCCCTGAGTTAAAACAACTAATAGCTGAGAAACGTAGAGCTAGATCAAGATGGCAACATACGCATTATCCAGATGACAAAAAACTATACAATTTTTGAACCAATAAACTCAAATTATTACTCAAGACTCACAAAAATAATTCTTATAAAACATACCTTCTAAATCTTTCAGTAAGGAACGGATCGTTATGGAGAAAAACAAATTCGATTCTTTGAATGAAAGAATCAACACCGCTCCTCCGGTGTAATGACAATACACTAGCTATAACAGATCAGGATAAAGCAGATACCCTCGCCGTAGAATTGTCTTTAAACCACACTCTATTTCTCCACCAGCGCATCATATCGAGACAGTAACAGATTTCATTCAGTCACCACTACCTTTATCTTTAACAGCCAAACCAACTACTCCTAATGAAGTTTATACTATTATAAAAAAACCTGTGGACGGAAAATCACCTGGAAATGATCTAAAAACCAATAAAATAATAAAAAATCTTCCTAGGAAAGCGGTCATTTTGTTAGTTTACATCTATAACGCAGCTCTTACATTATTTTATTTTCCAGCATCCTGGAAATCATCGGTAATTGTTACAATTCTCAAACCTGGGAAACCTCCCGAAGATCCCTCCTCGTACAGACCAATAAGTCTTCTACCTGTCTTAGGTAAAATATTAGAAAAAATTATATTAAAACGTCTTTTATTTATCATTCAAAAAAATAATAACATTCCTGAATTTCAATTCGGATTTAGAGCAAAACATTCAACTATTCATCAACTGCACCGTGTTGCTGATACAATTTCAACAGCATTAAAAACAAAGCAATACTGTGCTGGAGTCTTTCTAGATGTGGCAAAAGCCTCTGACTCTGTTTGGCATGAAGGACTTCTATTCAAATTAAAAAACATTTTCCCAGCTCCTTATTACCTTATACTCAAATCATACCTGCAAAACCGTTATTTTAACGTCCGTCATAATATCCAACACTCCCCATTATACCCAATATATGCTGATGTGCCTCAAGGTAGCGATATTGCGCCATTCTAGTACACAATATATACATCTGATCTACCTTTATCGGATACAACAATACTTGGTACCTATGCTGATGACACGGCCTTATTATCATCTTCATTAGATCATAAAGTTGCCAGTCAACAGTTACAAGTACATCTAAATATGCTTTCGCTCTGGTTCAAGACCTGGGGTGTCAAAATAAATGAGTCAAAACCTTCTTTCATTACATTCACTCTTAAAAAACATGACTGCCCATTAGTTACTATTAATAACATTGTTATTCCTCATTCAACCGAGGTTAAATACCTAGGGTTAATTTTTGACCGAAGGTTAACCTGGGGTCCTCATTTAAAAGAAAAAAGGAAAAAACTGAACTCGAGACTTCATTTACTAAGACCTTTGCTTAAGTCAAATATTTCTTTGTCAAATAAAATTATATTGTACAAAACATTACTCCAACCACTATGGTCTTATGGCATAATAATTTGGGGACCAGCAAAAAGTTCTAACCAGAGAACAATCCAAAGTTTCCACAACATCTGCTTAAGAATCATAACCGGGGCGCCCTGGTACGTCAGAAACATGGCCCTACATTCAGACCTCCATCTCAACACAATTAAAGAAATGGCAAGATTATATTATAAAAGATTTTGGATGAAACTTGAATCCAACCCCAACAGATTAATTCAAATGCTGAGCGCAAGCGCCTTGCCTGGCAATCCAGTAAGGCGTCTTAAGAGAGAATGGTGCAGAGACCTATTATCTTTATAAATGATTTAATCTTGTTAACATTACATAATTAAAACTCCTAATTATTGTACAAACTACTATACCATTATATATTATTATTATTATTATTGTTAATATTATGTAATAAAACTAAATATAAATTTTCAATAGCAGGCGACTCCAATGGGAGCGACCTCACAGGCTACTAATGTTAAGTATTTTATATATGTATATTTTCTAAACTATTTACTTATTGTAAAATTTTTTTTTTTACAGATTGTAAATTTCATAAATAAAAGAAAAAAAAACTTTTGAAAATGTTCCGGAAATACTGCGTCCTTTAAATATATAACAAATCAAAGGTTATGTCATATACTATAAAATGAAAAAAAAATTTTTTCCCGACGACCTATATTCTATGCGCAAATGACTACCGTAATCAAAATTATGCTATTTTTGTGTTAAAATCCTGGGTTTGGTATTTTATTTTATTTTAAAATATCTTATAAGAGTAATAGACTGACTCTCATGAATATTATATAATTTAATCGACATAGAATAAAGTTTATAAGACATAAGAAATTAAACTTATTTAAACTTTTTTACTTTTTTTAAGTCGAAAAAGTAACTTTTAAATTTGACTTAGTTTGAATTGCTAATTTTATCATGCGACGAAAGCGACGAACAGTTGCTGAATCGGTAACACTTGTGTCTTTCACGCTAAGGGTACGAGGTTCGCGTCTGCCTGTGGCAATTAATATTTTGTATTTTTTTTTGAGTTAGAAAAAAAATTTCAAATCATTTGATTTTTATCTCATTAAAATTCAATAACTTCAATAAGCATTAAGGATCCCATCACTATAATCTCTCCTCGTGAGAAGAAATTTTTTATTCATGTTAATATTATTTTACTATTTTTTTTTTTGAGGCCGCGATTTATTTTTCCAACCCTCACTTGACCTATTTATTTATATTGTTATTCATAACAGTATCGATATCCATAGTATTAGAATTACTATCTGACATTATAGTAATGGCATCATTAAGATATGCCGTACTAGTTTCATTGTTATCGGCCGATTCGTGAATATTATACTGAAATTGTATGTTAGCTGGGAGTAGTTGCGGTTGATTATCTAATAGGTATTGTAGATTCGGAGAAACCGGGCTGGTAGGAAGTTTTTTAGACTTACGTTTCGCACTGGCATTTGACCATTCGTCGGAGTCTTTTCGATTTTTGTGCAAAGTTACTTTTATGGGGCCAGAACCGTTATTAGGTGGACGGCCCGGTCCACCCGGTGAATTGGGCTTACGGAAACTTAAAAAGAAAAAATTATGCGAGACTACTTATGTGAGTTAGAGATATACAACTAAACACGATACTACTATACGTATAAGGAAAACCGGATTCACAGGTGCATAACAATAACACAACTTATCGCTACGATAACTGAAGCCGAACTGTGAAAAATAGTTATTTTGATTTTTTTTAATATTAAGTAAATTAAAATAATGTACTTCCTTACACTTATTATAATAATCAATTTTATGTTGTAATTATTTATAAAGACAGTAATATAAAATATTTACTGTATATAAAAGCACCTGTATTTTTCAAATCTCCGTGATTCACTTTGTATATAAATGTATAATTATAAATAATAAAAGATGAACATATAAATTCTGAATTGAAAAGCTGTAATGAACGAAATATAATACCATAGTTTCTTTGATCTATTAACATTATAAGTACTAACCTTATAATAATTTGTGTTAAGCAATAACTATACTTCTTCAACTCTATACTGTATATATTTTCAAAACTTTATTTCTAGTAGTGTGATATTCATTAACTCCCCATACAGACCCTATATAACCTAGAAAAACTTTCTAAGCTAAAAACTTTTAATTTGAGTACTAATAAATTTAAAAATTTTAAAAAGTCAATAAAAAAAACTTTTTAATAGAGTACAGTCTAAAGACAATTGAGTAATAACGCCCTAACTAAACCTCGGTTTAAAGTTGTGATTATGACCTTTAAATCAAAATATTATATTCTATATTAAAGAGAAAATGGAGTGTTGCCCTAACAGAAATGTCAAAATTCGGAATATTACCCACCTTATGAAAAATATGATTGTGACTAAGTTTTTTTATACCTTTATTTATTTGTTTAGCAGTAGATGGGTTTTAATTAAAGCTTTAAAAAAACTCTTAATCGCAGTTATCATTCTTTGTTAAAAATATAAATTTGGTTAGTTAAGTTGCTTATAGTTGTTTGATTTAATTTTACATAATTTAGTGTATACTGACACCATTGTGACTTTTTAATCCTTTAGTAGCCCCCAAATGCAAAACTTTTGGTAACATTCAGTATATTTTGTTTTCAATAAATCAATTAATGATAATAATATTAATATAAGAACCTACTAAAAAGCATCTATCAGTGTAAAGTTTTTAACATAATTTAGAATGAAAAGGTTTTAAAGCAAAGATTGTTTATTTCAGCAGAATGTCTTTAAGGTAAAAGTTATTTCTTTTTATAAAATGTGTTTGATAATGATTGATATTTTGATTTTATTAGGTAAAGATATTTACCAAATAAGGCAAAGTTGAGACACCTTACGATTTTCTTAAATTGTGCTACACTTCCAACTATGTATGTCCATACAAATAAAAAAATTATACTTTTCCTTAATGAGATATTGTATTTTTAATCTTTTGATTTAAAAGTAAATATATGACAGCTATGTTATTATAAACAATGAAATACAATAAGATATATTTACATAATTAAAAACTAGTAAGATAACAAATTTGTATAATTTAACACTTCTCACGTTAAAGAAAATGAGTTTGCATATATTACTTAGTCATAATTATTACATGATTATGTAAAGATTTAAGATGAAGTAAGATTTGTAACGACACCCATATTATATTCGGTTTTATATAAATACACACATTTTTCATTTTTATAATCAAATTTAGTAGAATAGTTCCGGTATAATATCCAGTTATCTAGTCGATAATCATAGATATAAATACATGCATTTAAGTAATAAGCAGCAGCAAGAATTTCTAATGTATCCCACCAACTTAATGCAATTTCTGTAAGAATAATTATAAGTAAATTAATATTAAAAAGTCTCCATGTCAGCAAATTATAAATATAAATATACTGTATACCTTTATTTTCATAAAACCCATCATAGTATGTTCTACAAAATGGACAATAATAATTTCTTTTAATTATTAGTTTATCAGCACAAATATAACACACTCGATGGGTACATCCACTGAAATAATAAGTAGGATATTTACTATCATAGCAAATTGGACATTCTGTTTCTTCATCTATTGAAATATTAAATAATGATTTAAAAGTATTATTAGTGTTCAAAAATTAACAATTTGTCATAATTTTAAAATCTAGATAGTTTGATTTACAAATTTGAATATATTTATATAAGTAATAATTGTATTTATACAGAATTATCGGTTTATCATAAGCCACTCCATCACTCACAGAATTAATACAATAATCGAGTGGTTTATGATAAACCCATGTATAAGTAATATATCGTCGTCTCATAATAAATTTTTATGTATATTAAGTAACCGTTTTTACCTTCGATGCGAAGTTAGAACGTATTATTTTTACTACGATATGATTACTTTTGTTTCCTTCTCTAAATTTTGTCAGCATAATAGGACCGTTTGCACTCAACAATACCACAAAAGATTAAAAATTATATTTAAATAACTAGAATTTCACTCAATCCTCACAAATGGTTATATTTGCCAAAGAGTACCGTTTTTAGCTACGATGCGAAGCTGAGAAGGTATTGGTTTTACTAAGATGTGTTTTTTTTTGTATCTGTTATCACTTTTTCTCAGCTTTTTTTCATGAGAAGTAGTATTTATAAACATCTTTCATTCGACATACTATTTTTTTAAATCTGATCATTTCCCTATATACGAGGGGGGTTCAAATCTAAAAAATGCATGTAGAAAGTAGAACTTTTTCAACTTAACTTTTGAAAGTGTTCCGGAAAGTCTGACACTTTTATATATATCTTAAATTAAAGCTAATGTAATGTACTTTAATTTGAAAAAAAAAATTTCGGACTTTATTTTATCTTCATGGTGAAAACAGACATTAAACTTAATAAAAAAAATACGATTTTTGTAAAAAAATTCTTTTTTATATTTTTAACTTTATAATGCTATAACTTTTCGAAAGATGTATGGATCAATATAATTCTTTTTTTTGTAGATGCATGATGTCTTTACCTATCATTTGGTATATTTTTTTTATAAATCTGACTTTTTACCTGCCTACAGGGGGGGATTCAAAATGACAACTTTTTCACAAAAAATTGACTTTTTCAACTTAAATTTTGAAAGTGTTTTATTATTGCAAAAAAAAATTTCGGACTTTATTTTGTCTTCACGGTGAAAATGGCTACCAAATGCTATTATTGTGTGAAAATTCTCAATTTTATTTTTTACATTTTTAACTTTATAATGCTATAACTTATTGAAAAGTGTATTGATCAATATAATTTTTTTATGGGAAATATTGTTTTTTAATATTCCTTTTTTCATTCGACATACTTTATCTTAATCAGGATATTGATAAGGAACTAGCAGTTTATGAAGCTTTTGGAATAATCCACCAATTTTTTAAAATTAAATACTATCTAAAGATTTGCATAAAAGCGTTTTTTTTTTATAGTGATTTTAATCACTGTCAGATATCATTATACTTGATCCAACTATGTCACGTCACCACTGTGCCGCGACCTCCCTGTGCTGGGTTTTTTTAGTTTTAAATTAATAATATTTTTACTATAGTTTTTTTTTATATGTAAATACTTATTTTTAACACTATCTACAGATTTGCATCGAATCGTTTCCTATGATAGTGATTTGAATCGCTGTCAGATATCATCTATACTTGTCTCAACTATGCCACGTCACCATTGTGCCGCGACCCCCCTGTGCTGGGTTTTTAAAACTATATTGCACAATTTAATGTCATTAAATATTTTTTATTTATTTTAGCTTCGATGCGAAGCTGAGAAGGTAAAATTTTACCATGACGTGTTTATATTTTTATTTTTTTTTTGTCTGTCACTACTTTTGCTGAGGTTTTACTAGATCAATTTTTTTTAAAAATACGTCAAAAGTTTACAAATTGTATCTTGTTGAATAAATAACAAATTGAAAATTTATCCCTGGTTCCCCGGAAATAGGGGAAATCTACAATAAAAATTACAATTTAAAAAATCTATAATAATTGATTTTTTTTTCTTAAAACTGACATACATTTTTTAAAAATAAACAAATCAACATAATTTTTTTTTATATAGAAATCTTAGGTATTTCTTTTTCATATGATATAAATTTATTGTACACAGGGGAGAATTCAAAATGGCAACTTTTTCACAAAATTCAATTTATTCAACTTAATTTTTGAAAATGTTCCGGAAATACAACATCTTTTAAACATATGTTAAATTAAAGCTTATGTTATGTACTTTAAAAAAAAAAAATTGTCCTGATGACTTTTTTCTACGTGCAAATGGCTGCTGTAGTAAAAAACATGCTATTTTTGTGTTAAAATTTTCGATTTTCGATTATATATTTTCAACTTTAAATTGTTATAATTTTTAAAAAATGTATAGATGTCATATATTTTTGTTTCTTAATACTTTATATGTACTTCTTTCATCCGACATACATTTATTTTAAATCGAACAATTTTTCCTTATACAGAGGTTGTTCAAAACTTGAAATATACGTATAATAAGTAGAACATTTTAACTTTACATTTGAAAATGTTGTGGAAATATTGCGTTCTTTTAACATATGTTAAATTAAAGCTTATATTACGCATTTTAAGTTAAAAAAAAGTGTCCCGACAACTTATTTCTGTATCTTCTATGTGTAAATAGCAGTCGAAGTTGAACAAATAATAGGAGTCAATTTTGTTTTTGGAATAATCTACCAATTTCCTAAAACTAAACACTATCTACAGATTTGCATCGAAGCGTATCTTATGATAGTGATTTTAATCACTGTCAAATATCATCTATTTTTTAGTTTTTATTTTTTTATTTTAAATACCCTATGGGTTTGCCATCGTAATGAGCCCATTAATTTTTGTAATAGTTATATGTATGTAACTTACATTAAATATAGGTTTAAAGTTATTTTGAATTACACAATGAAATCATATCACTAAAATGAAATATTCTTTAATGATCATAATTAAGTATGTATAAACGTATACATACTTTACTAAACCAAATTATTGAATTTGATTTCAAGTCTGAAATTAAATTTTTTTTATAACTTCATTTTTGATATTAATATTAATTAGGAAACAATTTTTTATACATGAAAAAAATTTTTTTAAAAATTTTTTTTTATCAAGTTATTATTGATTTTTAAAAATAATCAGTGTAAAATGTCATTTTTTGGTTATTTTTTGATCTTTTTAAGTTGATTTTTATGAAAGTTTATAATTTAAAAATTTTGAACTTTTAAACACTATTTTAACTCAACTTGCAAGTTTAGAATTTATACCATTAAATAAATAATTTTATGAGAAATAAAAAATTGTATTTTTTAGATTTATATGTGGTCAGGAACTTATTTTTTTGGTATTTTTATAGTAATAAATAATTTTAATAGAAATCTTAGTTATCATTTCTATATAACTCTTGGTGTTTAAATAGATGCTACAATTGAAATATTGAGAACTATATTCCATTATTCCGTATAAACTATATTCTATTGTATACTATAATATACTGATATTATATTATAATATTCAGAAATATTCCGTGTCTAGTTTCATCTATGATTTCGTTCGCTTTTGTGTTGTTAAATTTTATTTTAACCTATATTTTTTCAATTATTTGTTTATGTGTTAATACTCGTTTTTAACTAAATATTAATTATATCAATATTTAGTGGTGATGGAAAGATCTAATTGCAGATTTGAAATCAGTACGAAAAATTGGTTTAGAAAAGTATATTATTGACTCTGATAAAAATTCTTTGTAGACCAGTAAATTTATTTATAAATAACAAACAATTTCTTTTGAAAATTTTTGTATTTTTGTAGCCTTTCAATATTAATACACGTTTTCAATAAATGTATCAACAACTTTATAATTATTTTAAAACAACTCCGTAAAAAATTACAATAATAAATTATTAAGTATCAATGTCATACTACAATGAATTGCTATAATAGATATTTAATTATATATTATACTTATAAATTGTTACGTTTCGATAAATATTATGTAAATTAGTAGTGGGGATTGTCCATTACTCGCGAGTGCGATCAACGGCACAAACACATTATTAACAATTATATTTTTTCTCAATAAAGACTTATGTTATGTGTAACTATTTAATGTTGTTTTTCATATTAAAAACACAACATAAATTATAGAAATTCTAATTAGAAATAATGACTGAAATAGAAGTTTATTTTGTTTTTGGAATAATCTATCAATTTCTTTAAGTTAAACACTATACACAGGTGTGCTATCACTGTCAGATATCATCTATACTTATCCCCACTATGCCACATCTACACCGTACCGTGACCCCACTGTGCTACTGTTTTGTTTTTTTGTTTATATCTAGTTGTTATAAATTTTGACTAATATTCTATTTGTTTAGCTTAATATCAATTAGGTGTTGCGCTCTAGGCGTAACTTTAGCACTAGCATTTTAGCAGCGTCATTAGAAAATTATAACAGTGCTAGAGAAATTACAATTATAAATCAGAGATCTATACAAAAGATGGCAGTTACTCGTGCAACAACTGCTTTAGCAAAACACGAATGGAATATAGAATGTGTTGATAAATTAAAAATAAGAAGAGAAAAATTACTAAAAATTATTGATTCATTTGAAACCGTTCAGGAACAACTAGAGTTACCTGGACCGAATAGAAATGAAGAACACGACAAAAAAAGAGAAGACTTTGAGAAGAAATACTTCAGCACTTTAGGAGAGTATGGCAAAATAATAATGAAGATACTAACACCCACAGCATCATTGAAAAGGAGATCGACTATACCAATATCATCAAATAGAATGAATATGTCACACTCCCGCTTGCCACAAATATAACTTTCACAATTAAATGGTGATTTGCTAAACTGGAAGGCATTTATATTGCGATTTGAAGCAGTGATGGCAGAAGAGTTGTCTTTACAAAAATTGTATTACTTAAAGTCTTGTTTGAGTGAACAACCATTGAACATTATTGCATCATTACCTGCACAAGACGACACTTATGAACTTACTATAGAGTTGTTAGA